GGGGGGGCTAATTCAAAAGAACCCCCCCCTTTCCCCCGGTCACAACAGAAACTTTAAACTCTACACGGTTATATGATCACAGAAATAAACAGAAGAACAGAAATGACAGCCTCCTGTTTTGAAATGCATGAAAAAATAACGTGAAGCATTCAACCATTGTGCTAGGCCTGAAGGCACGGTAAAAGCGCAGACGACCCGGCAATAATTCCAAGCCGTCTCGATGTCTTGAAAATCTGTTTCACCCCCATTGGTTAAAGATATCGTTTAAGAGGGTTGCTTTGACCCTGTGTTTTAGAGTCGACCCGATCTGAGCGTGATACAGCATCCCAGCACAAAGATGGAGGCACTCGATATATCGAATGAGAATAGAATTCACTTCTTCTGTGCGTAGCGACGAATAGCCTCCTAAATACAGTCTGGGAAGAACGGAATCTTTTCTGTTGCTGATTTTATTTGCAATATCTGCGGTACGTTTTGTGAATGCTGTGGTTTTGATGACTTAAATCACTCTGCTAAGCTGGACCATTTCTGAGATATTCCCGATTCTGACACTTTTAGTCTATTTCAGGTTTATGTGAATAGATGGTTTTATGGCCCTATTGATAGGTCCATATCTTCTGATTACCCCTGTTGCTCTCGAGTATCATGTTTGCCAGCGTTGCTTATTCGTCCTTGTCTTTCTTTCTTTACTTAACGAGATTTCAATCTTCCACCTTTAGAATACTTACTTACTTTTTCCGGTCTCTGTTACCTTGTGATGTCAAGGGGAGAGGCTAACGTCTATCTCTTGTTTTGTTGTATCGCCTGTTGCATTATAGTGTTGTTCTTGTCTGATGTTTCTCCTACCGCTTCTATCCACCCTTTCCTGGGCCTGCTTCTTTCTCTGTTTCCTTCAGAATGACATTGCATTTTCAAGCTTCATGGAGCATTAAACCAATACATTCTTCTCGCCATATGACCAATAGTTGTAGGCTGCCATCTTCGTTATGGCTGATTAGTCTCGGATAACTGACCCAGTCAAGTGAAATCATGCTCATTTCCGTGACATTCATTGTCCCATGCCGCGTTCACGGAGCACCTTGTGCGTGCCTAATCTGCACAGGGAAAAAATCACTACGGTAAACCTATTGGAAAAAATGTAAAAATCTTTATGGTGAAAATCTCTGCGATGAACAAATAAAATCAGCACTACATCTTTACTATAAAAGCATGCACAAAGGGCCAAAATCTGTCAAAATCCACACGCCGACAATCTCCAGGATCACAATATCCATGCTGCATGTAGTTATCGCGAGGATCACGTTACCAGTGGGGGTTTGTAGATGTCTACGACGCCCTTTGTGTCCCTTCGCGTTCACTGTGTTTGTGTAGTAACAGTGCACTATGACTTTTATTTTGCTATGCACTTTAAAATGCAGCAGATGGTGGGAGAAGGTGGAGTGCATATTAACTGATTGATGTTCTGAATCGTCCCAACATAGTTTTTTTTTTGCGGACCCCCCCCCCACACACACACACTTTCCTTTCCCTTCTTCAAATAAATTGTTTACGATAAAGAGTTTATTACATGTCGTGGTGGGAGATAACGATTTATTCTACTTATGAAATTGCCATTTGTAATCACTCGTTTGGAGCCGTCTGTGGTATTGCTGATAAATTGCTAATAAATTGCTGATAAATTGCATTTGTATTGCTGATATTCATCTCAATGCGATGCTTAATGTACATCGCAATATAAAATCGCAGGTATGACAAACATAGGCACCCAGATGGTTGGAGGAAGCCACTGGTTGGTTCTACTTCTTTACATACCCTCTGTTGCTTCTGCCTTTTTGTCTTACTTTCCCCAGCACTAAATAACCAATATTGAGTCGATATGCTTCTCTTTACTCAAACATACAAACACATGCACAATTGAGAAAGGATTAAAAAAAAAACTCTATTCAAAATACACACGACTCGAGCATACTAGTACATGGATAAACATTCACGATGACAATAGACAGTTGTATTGATATGCAAAAAATACAAATAAGTAAATACATAAATATATACTACTAGCTGGGCCCCCTTTCGATGAAAGGAATGATCGGTGCTTTAATATCAACAAAAATCATTGGCCTACTATATTTACACTCTACTGGAATGGGGCAATAAATCTTGAGAGATGCAAAAAATTAGAAGGTCTAGATCTATACTCTCTAAACAAAATGCGCCTCGTGAAATATCACTTCCGGATTTTCTAACATTACGGAAACAGAAGCGTCGGCCTACAAAGCGATCGGCGAAATAAAGAAATTTAGCTTTTTGCAGCAAAACTGTCTCTCATTACTGAAAAAACGAAGGGCGTCATGCTCTTGAGAATATTTTAAAGAATATTTTGGCGAAAACCGCATGTCGATCGGTGTAGCCATAAAAAAGTCTTTTGAATAGCAAAATTCGGCCACCGCAAATAGATAATAGATTCGGACATAAAAGATAATAATACAGTAATTGTTAACAACTTGCAGTGAACGAAAAAATGAGTCGACTAGGCAGATAAAAGTGACATAACAATGTCCTTTGGATGGTTGCAAAATATTCATCATAATGACATTTATTAAATATATCAGTATAGACCCCTGATGATGAAATTGGTGATAATGTGTATGTATAGAGAATGTTAATGACGCAATCTGATATCTGATAGGTTGAATCCCAGGCTAGCTGATATACAGATGAGTCGTCAAGCTCTTTTTCAGTTGGGTCGAATAATTTTGCCGCTAACCTTATTGTACTGACTCGAAATGGTCTTCCAAAAATAGTCGGGGGGGGGGGGGGGGGGGTTGGAGAATGAGAAAACGCTATATCTCCAAAGAATCAGTTTTACCCCGGACACGACTGGCTTGTCACATAGGTTGATGACCTCTGCTTTCTACATTATGGCTGGAAGACCTGGGACAGGGACATTAATTGCTGAGGTGCGTTGTTGTACACATATTTAAAACACATAGGGGTTGTAATAAAAATAATTCGCTTTTCAATAGGCAACCAATGTATACAGATCTCTCAAAGTGGATGTTATGCTTTCTGTTTTCTTCATCTTCATGAATAAGGTTGCTGCGTTATTTTAGTTAACTTGTGTTTTTCAACTCTTGTTTAGAAGCTTCGAATTCCAATAATAAAATTTTGCGAGAATTAAGGCTGTGACAAGCTTTACTGACAAGGGACTTTCTTATACTGCTTATTTTCCTTAGGGTTATGGTTCAGCTCTTCGCCACTGAACGCGGAAGAAGTCAGTTCGATTTCCATGTAGTGAAGCATTTATTACCGACTATCTCGTTCCTCTACCTAGATTAAGAGTTCCCCTCAGTCTGGGTTGGCCCGACAAGAAATATTAAAATAATACTCTTTTAAAGTGGTCTTTACTGTGTTGATAAGGAGTAAATATTACATTTGGAATCAGTCTGTGCTTATCTTATTAATTAATTAATTAATTAATGTGTTCGTTTGTTAATTAATTAATTCATTAATCTATTTGGGTGGGGGAGGAACTGATACAAATTGTCTCTTCATAAAAAATATTATGTAACTTAAAGGTTATGAATAAAGGCTCCATGTGTC